ATCATAATGAAGTTTAACTTTTGAAACTCGTAGTTTAAATTCCTTCTCCTGTACACCAACTGCAGTTCCCCAGAACTGCGTCCGTAGGACTACCTTAAGCACACAGCAAAAAAGAAACCTACTTAAGGATAAGCTTTTGGGTCTGTATCCTTAGGTCCGTAGGGCTTACTCTAAGCACACAGTAAAGAGGGCCATCCTAATAGAGCATCTTGGGGCTCGTGAGCCTACCCAAGAGTCCATTAAGTCCGTAAGGTTTACCAGCTTGATCAGAGCTATACCTCTGTAATTCAATCTAACCCAAAATCAGTATTTCAAAAGTACTATTTATGCAGTAAACATAATTTCCATAAATCAGTAAACATCGTTATCATATATTAATGAAAATCAATAGTCATATATCAGTCATTGTCCATAAACCATCAATAAACAATAAATCATAGCTTTCAATGTATCATATTTCAAAAACAGCTAAAATAATTAAATAGTATTTAGGGAACACACCTCGATAATAGGATCAAACTGTAGATCTACTGAGTACTGGCCTCGCCACGCTCTGCTACAGTTTTCGAACCTAATTCATAATAACACTACATTACTAGAGGGTAACATAATTAATTTCTGAAATTATAAGATTTACGGGTCATACGGATAAATACTGGCACACGCGGTTTAACTGATATAGAGGAGCTGGGTCGAGCTGTCGAGCGATCAGGATAGTCTCTTGTAGGGGTGTGCAAAATTACACGACCCGGTTGACCCGACCCGCCGACCCGGATCAAAAACAACCAGGTAATTTTCTAAAAAAAATTACCTGGCCGGGTCGGGTACCCGGCCCGACATTTCCCGGGTCGGGCCCGGGTCACAAAATCTAGTTTTTTCGGGTACCCGGTTACCCGAGTACCCGGTTAGTTTTTATTTTTTTTTTTATTTTTTTATATATAATTATATAAAATATAATTATTTATTTATATTATGGATTATTATATTTTGTATTTTTGAACTTTTAAATTTTATGTTCGGATATTTGAGTATGTAATTCGAAGTTTTGAACATTTAAATTTGTGTATATATATTTTTTAAATTAATAATTTGAAAATAAAAACTTAAAAATCGGGTATCGGGTACCCGATTACCGGGTACCAACAAAATCCGGATACCCGATTACCGAATACCCGTAACATCTGGGTCGGGACACGGGCCGAGAAATCGTCCACCCGAAAGTTCTAGGTACCAGGAAATCGGGTACCCGGATTTGCACACCCCTAGTCTCTTGTACCTTCAAATAATAATCATTTATCAGTCTCAAGTATTACTTAATCATTCAAAGATAAAACTCTTAAGTACATATGCACTTTTTCGGGTTTGACTATCAATTTGGAGACTTTAGCGTCTGAATTTGACTAAACATATTGTGGAATCGGAATTAGGACGTCGAAAAACATAAAGTATGACTTTTCAAAAATTCAAATTTTTGGTCAAAGTTAAAGTCAACAGGTTTGACTGATGATTTGGAGACCTTCGGTTTTGAATTTGACAAAACGGACTTCGAAAACGGATTCGATACGTCGAAAAATGTCAATCGTTTAATAGCCGTTTAAAATCGGTCAAGTTATGATAAAAGGGGTTCAATAGTCTACAGTAAAAAATTACAGAAATATCATTTTTTTACAATTACAAAAATATCACTATTTTTAACAATAATTACTAAATATCACCGTTTTAACAATAATTACCAAAATAGCATCATTTTAACAATAATTACCAACATAGCACCGTTTTAACAATAATTACCAAAATATCACTGTTTTAACAATAATTACCAAAATATTACCGTTTTAAAATTAATTACAAAAATAACACCCTTTTTAAAAATAAATACAAAAATAACACACTTTTAAAAATAATTACGAAAATAACACCATAACCGAAATTAATTACGTATTTATCACTCTTTTAAAACTATTTATCAGCAATCTAAACCAACACCAATTATAATATGTTTTCGATCTAAACACTGAAATATTATCCAAATTAAACGATCTGACTTTACCTACGGCGGATGAACGAAACAAGACAGTTGTTGGAATGGCCAGAATCGACAAAACTTAAAACGACAATCGGGGTTTTAAGTGTCGATTTCCCTTCTCGATTCAGTCTATCTGTGATAGATTTCGGAACTGGATTAGTCGGGGTTGTACCGATGGTTGCACCTGAGACTGAAGGACACGACGGTGCACCACACCACCGATCAAAGGAGGCAGGCCGAATGTTCAAGAGTGAGTTTACTAAAAAATTCAGTTTTGGGTTCTGCACGGGAGGGTATTTTTGCAGAATTTATGTGTTAACTCCTAATATAATATAAACTCACCATTATTTGTTTCCAATAAAAAAAACTAAACATAGCATAGTGGGTATACCTTTGTCTCCACTTCATTTTATTTTATTCTTAATGCTATTATAATATTTATAGTGCTTATTATTTTATTTATAGTGCTTATTATTTTATCTATAGTGCTATTAGATATATATATTTTTTTCTAGTGGAAAATTATGGGGCAGAGTGTGACAAAGGTATATCCATTTTCAGACAACATATGTTCATGTCGAATGCAACAGTTGACTGGTTATTAGTTGTGATATGGTTGATTTTCTTCTTTATGTAGGGTCCCGAGGTTCGAAGCGGCGATGTTCCTCGACCGATTCAGCTTAAAGAGGGGCAAGAATTCAATTTCACTGTCGAAAGAGGAGTCAGTACGGAACACACCGTTAGCGTAAACTACGACAACTTTGTGAACGATGTGGAAGTTGGAGACATACTATTGGTGGATGGTAAGAACAAATTTCATTTTGATGTATTTGTAAGCTCAAGCTGAGTTCTGTCTTGCATGATGCTATAATCGAAACTGATTGAATAAGTTTACTGAATTGTTCGGATTGAAGATGCAATTTATTGTTTTGTTATGTCGTTTCTCCTCAGATCCTGTTTTCTTCTACTGCATTTAATGTATTCAATCTGTAATACAAAGAAAACGACAATTCGGTTATACTGTTAAATTCGTTTTCGTGATGTGTTTCTATTTATTATGTCGGAATGGTGGATCCAGGAAGTATTCGGTAATCAAAAGCACATTTTTGTCGATTTCTTACTTGCATACTCAATGAGTTGATTTGTGTCTCTATACGGCAGGTGGAATGATGTCGTTAGCGGTGAAGTCGAAGACAAAGTATTTGGTTACATGCGTCGTAGTTGACGGTGGAGAACTAAAATCAAGGTGCCATCTGAACGTGGGTGGGAAAAGTGCCACACTGCCATCGATGACAGGTTATTCACACAGCTGTTTTGACGATTTTCTTCTTTAAACACAGTCCTTTTTTTTTCAATTTTTGATCGCATGCATCATTTCTACAGACAAAGATTGGGAAGATATCAAATTCGGGGTGGACAACCAAGTTGACTTTTATGCCGTTTCTTTCGTGAAGGATGCTAAAGTAGTCCATGAGTTGAAAGATTATCTTAAAGGTAAAATAATTCTTGTTTAACCATGAAGGGTGTGTATAATATTAATATACGGTTTCCACAGTTGACTGTTTTGTAACCGAACTCTTTTGCAGGTTGCAATGCAGACATTCATGTGATTCTGACATAATTTTTTTTTGTCAAAGGTATCCTATTAAAGCTGTAAAAGTTATGCACACTGTGGCATTGTGGACAGAGTTAGATCTTCCAGTCAGTTGCATGTCTTCGGTTCAATTTAATGCTTACAAGGTAATCGGTTTTCTGGATTTGCTATATATCATTCAAGGTGTTGATGTCGACTTATGTTGAAATAACTTTTCCTAAACTGACCATGTTAGGGTGTTCTTTTGCAGGGTCATATGGGTGAAATGTTTGCTTTCCAGTCGACAACCGTGGCTAACACTCTTGATACACCAGTCTTGGTTTTTACAAGGACCGGATCCATGGCTATACTATTGAGTCATTACCGTCCTTCCTCTCTGATCTTGGCTTTCACGGATGAGTAAGTGTTAATAGTTGCACTGTCTAAACTATTATTTTCACATTATTTGGATGTGGTTTTTGACATATGTTTACAGCTTGGCTTCATTACGTCGTAGTGCAGGTGCTACAATTTCGGTAAACTGCCTTATGAAAGTTTTCCCAACAATCAGTTTACAGATTAACTGCAAGTATTAGCAATTAGTGATAGTTTAACTGAGAATTGTTTGGGTATTCCAAATTAGAACTTGTTTCTGTTCCCGTTCTCACTCTCGCGCTGTAATTATTCTTCTTGGCAGAGAAAGAATTAAGCAGAGACTGGCACTTTATAAAGGTGTGATACCGATATATATGGAGTTTTTGGGATGATGCAGAGGAAACTTTTTCTCTAGTACTCAAGCTGTTAGTGGTAAGTACCCAATCTAGTTTCTTTAGTTCTACATTCTAGTAGCCAATTTAGGGGGCTTATAGAAAAAACGATGCATGCCTGCCATGAGCTGCCACTCCCTCGGGACGGACTAAGCAATTTAACGAGAGTCGTAGATGTGAAAGTCCAGTGTTTCAATTCAATTTTAAGGGTTCCATGCCCTTCACAGAGAGACTAAATTTCAGTACTTGATATACTTGAACAATTTTCTCATACGAATTTTCGATGTTTGTAGGACGAGAACTTGGTGACGGAGGGAGAATCTGTTACTCTTGTCCAAAGTGGAGCACGGCCAATCTGGCTCCACGAATCCACCCATCACATCCAAGTTCGAAAAATCGAAATCATGAATCTATAAATGTAAGGGCAAAGGCTTCTTTTTCTTGTCAAAGAAGTTACTAAACAGTTGGTAAAGACTCTTTCTTTTCTTGTCACATAAGTTACTGAAGTGTGGCCATTTTTTTCGGTTTTACAACTTCTATTACAATGTCTGTAAATTTCCTATTCCAGGTAAAGAAAGTCGAAAACAGTGATACCGAGTTCGTGAATGAGACAATCAAACAAGTTAGAACGTGATTTGCAGAAGTTGAACTGTAATAAGGATCAAATAACATAGAACGGAATTGAAATCATGATAAAAAGTTTCAGTGGGAAGCATCTTCTTCTTCGCAGAACTTGGTGTATTCCTTGGAACCCATCAAGGATTCCAATTCTGATGGACTTCTGGGTTTCACCTTTATCATCCATCCTTCTTCATATGGGCTTGAATTGATCTTCAACAGCAAAGAGTTTTTTTTTAAAACGAGTTATCTGCTAGTTGCTAAGCAAAGGCTAAACAAGAAGAAAAGAAAGTTTTATTTACCAGGCCAGGAGCTTCACTGAGCTTGGAGTTAACCTCGACGATTTCGCCGGAAATCGGTGAATTGACATCACTGGTTGCTTTAACACTTTCAACGGCCCCGAAGCCTTTTCCCTTGCTAACTGAACCACCAGATTCTGGCAGCTCTACAAACACCACTTCTCCCAGATGGTCCTGCAAATGGTCTAATTGTATGAACACTAAGAGGAAATGGTCTAATTATGCTTTTAATCATAACATTGCTAATCTAGATTTTAGTTTTTAAATAAGCTCGAATAACATGGATAGTGAAGTTGATCCTAAATGAAATTTGATCCGATTTGACTTCAAACTTAATTAGACAGGGGTGATGATTAGAGAAAATCAACGAATGCTGAATTGAGTGATAAGGAGCTTAATATCTTTAAATAATATCTTAACTCTAGAGACTACTCTTAAATGAAATCTTACTCAATTCGGCTCTAAACTTAATTAGAATTCTTGAAACTATCGAACAACAGCGGAAGAATAGAGTGGATGATTTGGGAAGAAGAGGAAGAACCTGAGCATGGTCAGTGATGCCAATGGTAGCCACCGAACCTTCATGCTTCACCCATTCATGTGATTCCGCATATTTCAACCCATCCAAAACTGCAAATTTCAGCACATCCATTATCATGATCAATAAAAGAAGATGAAACTGAAGGAGGAAAATGGGGTTTACCAGTGGCAAAGCATCTGGAGAGGGAGAGGAGAGATTTGGAGGCACAAGAAATCTTGAGTGCATTGGCAGTGGAAGAAGCCCACATTCTCAGTGCCATTGTTATCTGGTTGTTTTGCCTGCAAATGATGGAACAAAGGAGAAGTCTGCGTTAGTTTTGATATGCGTCCGTCTGCTTTTTTTTTTTTATCCTGTATGAATGGTTGGCAGCGAAAGCCTCATCCTGATTAAGGACAACCTTCACTCACAACTAATGATTCGAATATTATGTTGTTTTTACTTTTTTATTTCATGTCATAATTTTTATTGTCTCCATGTACCATAATCAATGAAAAATTAGTAAAATAAAATAAAATAAAATTTAAAGAAATAGATAGGGGAAAATGAGGTAGAAGAGAGGGTTAATGAGCAAACTCCTCCATTTGACAGCCTTGACCCTCTTGGCTAAATGAGAAAATTCCTTTATTAGTCCCTCCCAAAAGTTAATAATTCATTTTTAGTCCTTTCATTCTTTGATTAAATAGAAAAATCATAATTGTAATCCCTAAAAATAATGATTTTAATTTAATTTTGTTTCTGACACAAAATTTTATAATTTCATCTCAGTTCCATAACACAAATAAACCATCTAAGATGTAACAGCTGATGATGGAATCTTTGATTGCAACCACAACACTAAAACCTCCCTCGTTGCCACAAAGCAACCAGCTCTGTCTTCACTTTGCTTGAATGGTGCTCCTAGTTGCTTCAGATGAGAAGCAAAGGAATTGGACAGTCCTTGGGCGAATTTATGAGTTCCGGAACCGGTTTGAGCCGAGAACAGCTCCGGCAAAGCTTCTCCACGCTTAATGATTTTGGCCAAAGTACCCACCCACTCTTCCAGTGCAGTCAATGCTGCTCCGACAGATAACGTTCGGACATTCAGACTCCACTCATCCGTGGTTTTGTTGTGTAAGCGTGGGTAAAACCCGTATAGAGTTCCTAGATAAAGCAGATCGTGTGCTCTCTCGTGGTGATTCTTACTTCGACATATATCAATCAAGCAGTTACAGATCGGTCTTCTAGAATCATCTTTGGTGTCACTGAGGATAGACTTAAACTCTTCTTTGACGGTGTCGAGAGTGCTTTTCTCGTCTTAGATCAAGTTCAAAAATGCGACTAACCGATGATTGGCTTGCCGCAAGCAAGCGACAACTCTCTCCATATCCTCCCTGTTATCGCAAAGTGACACAACAGATAACAGGCACCCACAGAGCCTGTCATCCGGTTTAATTCCTTGTTCAATCGACACCGTAAATTCCTTCACCAACTCATCTATTCTTTTGGCCTTCCCCAAACATTGAATCAAAGAAGTGCATCCCATTACATTAAGTTCAACATCCACCTCCGACATCTCTTCAAACAACTCCATTGCCTTATCGACATTTCCTCTACTTCCGTATATATTTAGCATTGCAGTGTCTCCAACTATCCGGCCTAAACTCCTCTGATCGCTTCATATCCATAAAAAGCTGCTCTGCTTCCTCAACTAAACCAATGTCGGCAAACATAGTTAACAAAGTATTATACAAAATAAAATCCACAGGCCAGTTTTTCGACTTCATTTCCTCCCACAATTTCAATGCATCTTTTTCCCACCTTGCCTTGCCATATATCTTGGCAAGTGCAGTTAAAGTCTTCTCATTTGGAGTCAAACTGGACGAGATCCTCGAAAATGCTTCTCGCAAGCGCGGGTTTCCCTACCCTCCCCATTGCCTCTATCAAAGTATTGTAAACAACCAAATTCGGCCGAACCCCGACCGACTTCTTCTCTTGCAAGACATACTTAATCCCAACATAGTCACCAGCAGCGCCAAACATCTTTGCCAACACAGAGAATGTAACCATGTCCGGTTTCCAACCACTAGCCACACCTCTCTCGTACAAGCTAACCACTTCCTCAACCTTACCCAATTTGGCATAAACATCTAAAATCGCAGAGTAAGTGACTTCGTCAGGCATCAAACCAGTTCTATACATTCTCTCAAACCAATCTACAGCCTTATTGAACCGATAACAACGTCTTGCAGAGCTAATAATAGTCGAATACGTAATGTTATCGAGTGAAATCTCATTGCTTACCATTTCATTAGCGAGTTCCTCTATGAGCTCAAACTGTCCCCCGAGCCTCAAAGACTTAGGAAAGTTTCTTCACTGTTTTCGCACTCGTTTAGCTTCTTTGCAAAGAGCTTTAGCTCTCTGAGTTGGGGATTTGATGCATGAGGAGAACGCTTTTGCCTTTGTGGTGAAAGCACGGATCTCTTCGGCTTGGAGGGATTAACCCATGTGGATTTCGGGTTTGAGGAGGGGAAAATTCGGTATTTTTTCGGAAGTGTTGTTGTGGAGAGAGGCTGAAGCTGCTCGGATAAAGATTGTGTCTTTCTGGGTGGTGATTGCTGTGGTTTTGAAGAAGATTTACAAGAAATGAGAAATCTTTTTCTAGGGTTTTGATTATTCACTCTTTTGGTGAAGAAAATGGATCTTCTTGAATCGGATTGAGGGACGGCAAAATGAACATCGAGAGCAGTGGAGATACTGGCAGCCATGGACGTTTTGATTGCCTTATCTGAATAGTGAACTCCCCAGGCGACACTGAAGCGTATAATTCTTGGCCCAAAACAGAGAGGAGAATGTCATAATTCCCTCAATAAACTCGAGTTAACTATTGGTGAAAGTACCTGGCAGGTCCTTTTTTTATAGTTAGTTACTCAAATTAATACCTATGTCATGGGAACTGGTTTGAATTAGTCCTTCCACTATTAAATAGATTAATTTAATCTATACACCAATAAAAATAATTAAATAATATCAAATTTTAACATAGTAAACATATATGATTTCAATATTAAAATTTTAAAAATGTAAATTAAAAGTATAATGTAAAAAATGTCTCTATTGTTTAATAAAATATTTATTTTGATTTTGTACTTTTTTTTGAATGCTTTAGCTCCCAACCTTTTATTATAAAACAAAATGATCACTTATTAGATGCAACTATTTATTAATTAACATTCAAAGCTTACATTGATACGATGTGTACTACATGTGCATCAATGATAACTTGACGTATGTTACATATACATTAATGATGATATAATATATATCATAGTACATTGGTAATGACTTGACGTATGTTACATATACATTAATGATGATATAATGTATATCATAGTACATTAGTAATGACGTGACGTATGTTACATGTACATTAGTGATGACATAACATATGTTATATATGGTACACATCAGTAATGATGTGGTACATGACACACATATAAAAGTGTCACATCATTATTTTATATACATAAATTACTGACAAGCGTTGATTATTAGTGAACTAACAATTTTATCTAACTAGAGATATTCTTACCTCCAAATAAATAACATGTGCCAAAATACTTGTAAAAAAAATGAAAAATTGATTATATTAGACATTAAAAATGATTTTTTACATAATACTTAAATTAAAATATATAAACTAAACCAATAAATTATGTAATATAAAGACAATCATATAATTTAACCTTATCTCATTTATCATTTACGTGATGTACAAGTAGACAATAATTATAGTTAGATACATAAAGCAGCTGGTATGGTTGAGCTATGAAGAGTCATTTTATTGTGAATTTAAGCAATTCCCTTACGTGATACAAGCAGCTATGAAGAGTCACAAGCTTAATTATTTTTATTGTTTTTTAAAATAATAATAATTAATAGAGATATTTGTTTAGGATGTCCCCAAATTATGATTTTTCTTTAAATTGGTTCTTAAACTTTAAAACATTATATATCAATATTCAAACTATGACCCTCATTCTAAGTTAGTCTTTAATCTTCAAAAACACTCTATATCAATCTTCAAATTATCAATATCATCTCATTGTGATCATTTTATCAACGTGTTGTTAATTATACTAATTAAAAAATAAAATATTTTGAAGGTCTTGAGAGTCGAACTCATGACTTTCTAAAAAAAAAATCTATTTTGAAGGTTCTGGGAATTTTTTTTTACTAATAAAATTAATGACACATTAACAAAATGATTAAAATAGATTTATTTTTTTACACATCAATGAACTATTTTTATTATAAAATGTATTGTTTAGCTGAAAGCTAATCATGCAAAAATGGTTCCTGAAATGATAATCTCGGTCGCATCGGATGCATGTCAGCTTGTTGTTATGCAAATGACATTCTATGGCAATGAAATGATACGACCAGACTCCACTTTGCTGGTAAGCTGATGGAGATGGGAAATTGGAGGAATGTGATGGTGTTGATTGTGATGTAAAGTGTCCTCACTGGTATATAAATATATATGTGTGTGATTAATGAATAATAGTACTTGGCTTGTCTTATTTAAGGGATCCTTTAAGTAAGAAATTTAAATATTGACGAGTATCATTTGTCTGGTAATGTTTTGCTTCTCTAAACATAGAAAGACCGAAATGTCCCTTTACCTGATCTGGATTTCTTTTCATTTCAACAACCAAGTGTTCAAAGCCCTTTTTGATTTTGTTTTTGTTCCTTTCAAATTATCTCCTTCACCGAGGTTTTTGATTACCGAACTGAAATCGAACGCGAACGCCCTCTATTTCTCCAGATCCGGGCCATTCGCCGGTTTCCGAAACCTCCGATACAATCATTTCACCAATTGATTTCTCTTCATTTAGCGTGTTACGCGATCCGCTGGATCGAAGATGCCGGTGGCCGCTTCTGCAATCTACTTCTTGAATCTTCGCGGTGATGTCCTCGTCAATCGTCTCTACCGCGACGATGTTGGGTAATTCTCTCTTTTCAGTTCCAGTTACTATTAAATTAATAGAATTAGGTTTGCTTAATATTGCTGTGAATGCATCAAGATTTATCTGAATAGCTAGGTTTATGTTTTTCCATGAGAGGACGGAGTTTGTCTGAGGTTTTCGATAATTTCTTAAGTGCTTCTGATTCATATAACTTTTTATTTAGGGGAAATATGGTGGATGCCTTTCGAATGCACATTATGCAGACAAAAGAACTCGGAACATGTCCCGTGCGACATATTGGAGGCTGCTCATTCTTTTACATGAGAATCAGCAATGTGTACATCGTAATTGTTGTTAGCAGTAATGCTAATGTAGCTTGTG